CCCACACACACACACACACACACACACACACACACACACACACACACACATGCCATGAGCGAAGTCGAGCTCAAGTCCCGAGGACTTGTGTAGGTTGGTTTACTCCCCACATATTCAATTTGACTTCATATTTTTGCTCGGATTTCGCTCATTACACGCATGCTTGGCCTCTTCGATTTCCTCTACGACCGTCTCCATGGGCAGAGTTCAGCCTTGTCACCTACCACTATCATTTCTTTACTGCCGCTTGAACCTCTAACAAATTTGAACGCTCTGTTTCCACGGAAACAGGATTTGTGAATCTCCCCAAAAATTTTCGCGACGGCTTGCTCGTTGTGGCCAGAGTCTATCCCGCCGCTTGTATCCCTACAAGTCGGAACACCCTAGGTCCAGGGAAACACGCATTCTTGATGAAATTCTCCCAAACCTTCACGTGTGCTACGCTATGTGGACATACATTAGTATAGACGTGCCAGTTACTTTCATTGTTCCATCCTGCCACCTGTCCATCTATCAAATTTAAGCGTTACGGATCTACAGGAGCAGGAGTTGTGTGGAAAGATCTCAACTCAACTCAACTAGATCGCCTTCCCCGGGAGACCTGGATCACCGCGGAGGAGATACGAAGAGACAGTTTTTATTGATATCTCCAGCTTACACTTTGTTGACACTCACATACAAGTGGCAGTGAACTAGATCACAAGGATTTCTACGTTGACGTTGTTTGGAGTTTCATTATGGGTTGAGTTTTGGAATTCGAGTTCCCATCAGCCGAATTCCCGCCGTGCGTTGTGGGGTCACTGATATTGCGGTTCTTAGGTCTCGCCCACACTTCTGCTTATCTTCCTCAAGAGGTGGGCTGAACTGTATTGTTTTCAGGCCCAACTTAGCGCACACCGAATTAAAAGAAGGGTAGTTCATCCACTGCTTCTAGATTCTCATTGGCTAATATTTCTAATGCTTCCGCCTTCGTGTGTAGGCGAGGGCACAGCTGATGATGTGCCCCCGCCTGAACACGTCCAAGGAGCTTTTGTCTCGCCCCCTCTTCGGTATCCGCTGAGAGTATACTTTTCTGAAGGAGTATGAGAGGATCTTGGGGAAGCACATGATCAGCTTTGGCCTAAACGCCTCAAGGTTTCCATCGCGGAGGTTCAGTAGATAATTTTACTTCAGTCACTAGTATATGATTGCACGCGCCGATTGATTTGCTCTCTACTCTGATAACGAGTGCGTGCCCTTTTTCCAGAGTTCAAACGCCTATCTGTCTGTGCAGAGAATGGAACTTGTTATAGATCAAGATCAGAGGAATTAATTTGAAAAGCTCATAGGAGCAGCCTTGCAGGAAAGATGCATTTGGTAACCTTGCGAGAGTGCAGCCCGAAGTGAGTTGCACGAATAAGATTTACGTCAAATAACATGAAAATATATTTACAAATACTTACATCAACAAAGATTATCATCAAGGAAATTCCTGAGGAAGATAGACTCGTTAAGATTTAGAGAAATGATGACCAGTCTTTGAGCTATTCGAATACATAAATTACAAAACATTTCGATAGCATTGACCTATAGATACAGATGATTCAATAATATTCTCAAAACGAACCGGAACAAGTTCAAATATTGGTAAATATCATATGAAGCGTTAATTAATAATTCCGATCAATGAGATAAGATCTCACAATGAAATAGATTCGGAAACTGGAGGCTGTCTAGTGTCTTGCTGTGACAGCGCTCACAGCTTCACAACCTTCGTAGTTGTGAAAGCTGCGAGGGGATCAAGCCGTATGTTTGACATACTATCGCCTAGCACCTCACAGCGATCTAACATTGAGTACGCCTATGTTATCGAGGTGAACAGACTGCAGTGATGGACAGAACTTACAGGTGTTTGGAAGGACGGTATCGAGCGGATATGTGATTTTCATCCCAATCACAATGATGGCTCGATTCTGGCTGGAACCTATCCTCTTTTACCTATTTAATCTTTACTGCTTTCCACCAAAACTTATTTTGTACAGAAAGACATTGAGGAACGAGCTGATTGGGATTGGGTGCGGTTGCGAAGCGTATACATAGACAGGTTTCTCAATGTAGAGATTGTGGAGCCGTTTTCACGCCTTCTTTCCTATTTTGACAATTACCATTGAGTGTTACTGCGAAAAAACTGCTAAGCTGTTAAAGCTAACTGAAAAGATAGGTTATGCCGAGTATTACGACGCAACCGCATGGTGAGCACGCCCTCCACATTCCCTTCGAAAAGGCAGCATAACTAGGGAGACCGTGAACAGGGATTTGTCCTGAGACTGTGGACGGTTCACGCGAAGATACGAACTCTCATCTCTCGTCCCCACTGTGCTGGGGCACCGATGAGCAACTGGGAATTGTCAACGACGAGGAGCTCATCCGAATTGATATAGATTTCTTGTTGCATCTCACAACAAATGTTGTAGAACGACTTCAAACTGCGATAGAAAAGATCCAAATTGTCAGTAGTCATCTGGCTGGAGCGGAAGTCGTTGTTGAAGACGGCCTATAACAAGAAACTAGTTAATGAGATTTCTACTCTTGAAGGTGTGATTATAACAGGCAGCTTGTTATTATAGTAAAGTCCGGTTGACCAGGTTACTCAATCTTCCCTCAGACTGGGAAGCCGATTCTGTACTGGTCAAGAGCAACGTGGCTGAAGGGACTTAAAGACACCGTTCACGATACTTTTAGGGTATGTACTTCGGAGGGCGGAGGTGGTGCAGTAGCAAGAGGCGCACTATCTCACACCCACGGTCAGGGGTTCGAATCCTGGATCGATGTCCACCTAAGCCAACCAAGCCTTCCATCCCTCCAGAGTTGGTTAGTTGGTACCAGACATTGTATAGGCCACACACGCACTCATTACGCTACTACGATTCCGAATGGAAGTCGAGTGCGGGGGCGCATCCCTCAGACGGGATTGAGTAATGTCATCAACTTTATCCTTTTATCCTTTGTAACTTTGGACGAGTGAAGTCATAGTCCAGAATGGTGCAGAAAGGCGAAAAAAAATACGAAATCAGCGTATTTAGAGAAATATGAGGCCTCAACAAAGTTGTAAGATAAGGAATTGTATGACGAAAAAAGTTGCACGAAAGTGGTTTTTGGACGAGTTTTGAAGGTGTGTGCCATTGCTTACATCTGGTTACAGTAAACTATGTGCGTGCAAAGAGTGCGTTCGGGTGTGAGTGGTGCAAATTACACAGCTCCAACATCGCCGTGAGAACTCGTCCGCCTGGGTGTGTACGTCGGCTAAGACGGTCCTGGGATCCCTGTCATGCCCCAACAAGAACGTTTTCAGCGTCCCATGTGTTTCTCTTGGAGATCACAGGTTCATTTAGGCAGACATGTCACGAACCCTTTTTGCCGTAGGCTTTACCTTTCGACTAGATAGTGCCTGAGCCAAAGGAGTATAGTTCGAAAAAAAGAATAGCCAGATTCATGTTGCAGGAGTCAAGCTATGACAACGCCGAGAGCAAAGCCATGCTAGCTTCAAACGCGCAACCGTTGGGCCGGCGCTCAATCATTTGCCAGTCTCCTGTGCCCTGAGAAAACTCAAAATCCTAACAGCAAACCAACGTGTTTCTCAAAGAGCGGCATTGAATCCTTACCCCTTTTTATTGGCTTAGCCCATATAGCCCTCAGAAACTCGGACTCCATGAAATCAGGATGAGCATGCGGTCAGTGTCATTCAAGGCGCTGTGGAAAGAAGGATGCTTAGAACTTCCCTGTTTATGTAAGCGCAGAAGGGATTCCAGAGTTTTGCCCCCCCCCCCCCCTTCAACGAACGAAGACCAGGGATGCCATTGCTTACGCCAAGAAATCGAAAATCAGATGGGCCAGACACATTACGCGATGTAGTGATGACTGTTGAACGAAGGCGGTTATAGACTTGACCAGGACGGCCGCCAGATGGTCAGACTCCTTCACGAAAGCTCTAAGTGAACGTAATGCATTGCCCCGTGTCTCTCGAGCGAGTACGGTTCAATAGACTACTCTGCGTTACTGACTCGCGCTCGAGAAAATCGATGATCAACGGGACCAAAGGCGACACAGGTGATATTGACATGAAAAGGGACACAAAGTTGATTTCTAACATGAACTCGTATGATACCTACCGAAACGATCTCGTTTCTGTCGACGTTTGCCAGGTGGTGAGAGGCTTTGAAGAAGGCATGTTCATATTCGATCGGATTCTCCATCATGAATCGAAAATATGCCGAATGTTCTTCGTGCAATCGTTTGAGTGCGGCAACTGAATCGACCAAACTTACGCGTGCTCCATCGAATCGAGTCTCTACCGTTACCACAGATGGTATCTGAAAGTATCGTAATAAATCAGGGACAAATTCCTCTGAATATAGAAGCACAGATACACGAACTCTGGTATCGACTGCATTTCCGAACCTATAGACATTTTTGAGCGCTCTTCTGCCTGCATATATGTTGGTTTGTCTGTCTAGCTGCCAGTCCGTCTGACTGTTTATCTGCCTGCCTGTCTTTTTGTCTCTTTGTCATCTAACGTTATGTCTCAAAATTCGATTTTACGTGAAGGAGCACCTCGAAGGCTCGAGCCGTGTATGGGACGGATTGGACTCATAGCAGGGTCAACGGAACACATGTAAGCTCAGCAAAGCCTCATTTACAGGGGTGGAATGATTACCGGGGAGGACAGCGGGAAGGGCAGAATTCCCTTGTTCAGTTCCAAAAAGGGCTTCAATGCCAAGAAGGATGTCCATCTGAGTGAGAGGAGCGCCCTCGAAATGAGCAGCAATTACAGAATAGATTTACAACCGATTTTACTGAAACTTGTTGGCAAGAAAAAGAAATGTAGAAATGTGCAAGGTTTGAGGTTTATTGTGCTTGCCCGGACTAGGCGAAACTCCGCCCACAACGGGAGGGAGAACTCTAGAATGCCAGATTTTCGTAGGATTCCACGCGAATAAAAGGGTAGAATTTGAAAATAACTTCTGGGTGCTACCAAATAGTATCTTGTCTAGCTTCGTAGCAGGCGCGTAATACACAGAGGTTGGTGAGGCTAGGCTCAAAAGTACGAAATGCCCTAAAAATACGAGCACCAAAATCCGAAATTTTCTTTTGTTCGAAAATGATTGGTCTTCATTTTATTCGCTATTAATCAATTGCGATGTTAATTCTTCTGTAATCCGCACAGCTGCCGAAGTAGGACTCTCAATGTACTATATGAGATGTGAAGGTTCATTCGATGCTACAAGTAGCAGGAATGCCTCATGAATTTTTTTTTTGTGATTCCAATGAGGACCTTACAGAAGTCTGTAAAAGGATATAGAGAAATAGGATCAATTAGAGACAAACCCAAAAGAGGTAGAGCGGCCAGTGTTCCCAAGGGAAAATTCATTGAAGTACAGATCGTCCCGAAACTATAGGCGCCATAGTTCACAAACCTCTAAGGCAAAAATAGTTCGATAATCTCACTTTATTTGTTATTAGTTAGCTGCTCAAGTAGGTCTTCTTGCATTATGCACAATCACTGAAGTGAAGCTTTCAAAATCTCTTAGATGGGGAAGGCGAATTCAATGCCATCTGCAAGCGTTTGCATGCAAGCAGAGGAACGACAGAGTGAAGTTTTTCGTGATTTCAATAATGACTGTATAGAAAGCTAACAAACTATACAGAAAAGCAGAGTCAATCAAAGACCGTGTCGGAAGGGATAGAAAGGGGGGGCGCGCGATTCACGCGCCAATATAATGAGGTCATCGCGCGCGCAGCATCGTTTCAGTACCTTCCTGTTGAGATGGACCAAATAAGTTTGCAGTAGTTCACGGCTTCACCATGAATAGAGCAAATCTCTTTACTATGGCAAAAAAGCCCCTTTGAGACTGAGAATTCACCTCATAGGTCAACAACTTACTAGTCAAACGTTCAAAATAAGAATAACTTTAATTTTTTTCGATCCTAGTAAACGCAATCCATCTGTAAACGTGCATAGTTAGTCATTTCTTTACTTATTCAACTTATAAGTTCTTATAACTTGTTATGATGGTAGGAATGATGTTTTAGCGTGATTTGTCCGATGACCTCATTATATTGGCGCGTGAATCGCACCACACCCGATAGAAAGGCCGTGTTTTCAAATACAGGAATATTGAACCAGTCCCTTTGCGAGCCGATAACCTCAAAGGAAGGCACCAGTTGCCTTCCTTTGATGGGTTACCCAGGATCACGGTTATCTAGGAAGGATTTATCGGGATTGTCAGATTGTCAAGCAGAAGCTTCATTGCCATTCCTATCGCATGCAGAATGCCTTCTTATTTCCAATCATGCAGACAATAAAGGTTCAAAAAGTGCAGAAGGTTGCTAAGTATCTTGAGTGGAAACGCGCATCCTCTCATACTTTTCTCAGACGAAGAACTTTTTACGACAAAGGCAATCATCAACAGATAAAATGGTCGAATTTGGAAAGAAAGGACGAAACTGTTATTCTCCACGAAAAGATTGTGATAAGAACAGCAAAATGATGTTTATTGAGGAAGTTATCGGAAATGGTAAGGCGCCGGTGGTTTCGCTGGTACTGGCGTGGAAATTGGCAAGGATGTGCACTTAAAGACATAGTTCACGATAGTTCGAGAAACGTGAAAGCCACGCTTTCCCGTCGCTCGATCGATGTCACGTCAGACGAGTGTCGAGACAGTACAGAGTGCAACTATTCGTTCTAGGACCCACATACAATCAACTGATCGCCGAGGGATGAGGCAATGTTTTTCTCCCATTCTTTTCCCTCTGTTATTCTTTTTGCTGCCACGATCTCGCTGGGATAATGCGTCCCGATGCCGACCTTGAACAAGGTAGCCTTGCATCAGCTCCAGAACCACTGCTTCAGCAATAGGGGATCGAGACGCATAAAACGACGCAAAAAAAATGGCTTGGTCTCACGCAGCGCGTGTTCAAAAAAGGCTGCGCTCGCCAACGTGTTAAAGAAGGTAACCAGTAGGTATGGGTCTGTTAAAAATTTGCATTGGATACGTCATTTTCTTTCTCTATCTCGACTTGGCATTCAACCTTCATTGTCGAAAAAGGAACATTTGCATAGTGCTGTGCTGTATAGGTACGAAGTAATACTGTAAGGGAACTGTAAATATTATCCATATTTTGGATTGTTCACTTTCCTTCTACCAACCAAAAATGATTACCCTAAATAGGACGTAGCCTGTGAGACACGTACTTTGAACTCACGACCTTTCACAAGATCGATGATTGCGGATGATTCCCTGTGTACCAACGTACCGGAAACCAGAAGTAACAAAGAAAACATGCAGCGAGCGAGCTCTATCAAAACAGTTATTAGTCGAATGTTATCCTATTTTTTGACCTGGTTTTTCGAGAAAGTATCTTTGTAGAGCCTCTGAAGGTTCCTTCGTCTCTGGAGTTGGAAAACTCTCTATACCATTCGAAACGAACTGATTGAATGAACGGGCTTTTTTCAAATCGGCCTGAAGCCGAGAAAACCTCTCAGCCGGCGGTCTAGCTTAGAAACTATCGATTAAGAAAAAAAGCCGGTTGTTTCTCTGAAAACAATTCGCCTTTGCCAGTGTTCCTCATGGAGAAAATTCTTTCGAGTGGACCATGGCATTCGAATGACAGTTGCTTTGATACTAGTTGAAAAAAGTCTAAACGTCAATTCTGCATCGATCATGTACCTTTTCAAGGTGAGGCCAAACTGTTCCATTGATCACCAAAGGTTCTTTCCAGATCATTGCGCCAATGTGACGTTGATCGACTGAACACGGCCGTTTCTGGATTCGCCACGGTTTAGTCAAAATCTAAAATAAAGTCGATCTTTGACAGTTGTTTTCTCAGAAGTACAATGCCCTTTGTTAGACAAATTTGTCCGGCAAACTGCTCCGAACCTGTTTATTGGGGTTTTTGCATAGGTTAGTCGCAGGTTGAACGTGGCTGTGTGAACGAAGAAATTCGCTGGGAAAGTCTGCTCGAAGAAATGGTGGCCATTCCAAGGAAACACAGTTGCTTGATAAGGCGACTTTCTAAATCACAAAAGATAAACCCTCATCAATTGAACTAGCTGGATTTACCATGGGAAAAAAGAACTCAGAATAACACATTTGGGGTTAAACAACCCTGTTTTAGATGCGCCTCGTATTCAACCTTCATTAAGAACCATGGTGACGTATTGGATGGACTACACAATGACAAGCGGTGACCAGCCCATAAGCAAATCAGTGATTCTATCCTTTCAGACAAGACTGTTATCCGTAAACCGATTCCGTAAGAATAAAAGGTTCAGTTGGCCAAGATGGATGTCGATCTGTGTTTCGATCCTTGAGCCATGCGTATGTGATGTTGTGCCACTTGCCACCAAACCACCTCCGCCCACCGCATTAATACCAAATATAAGATAAAGAGAAATTATCAACCCAACACTGAACTAAGCGATGCGCCTCCTTGTAAGCTAGTAAGGCCAGCTACATGCGAATCCAATTAACACATTAACTTGCTCCCATGATGTGTCTTTTGCGGTATTTTCACCTTAGAAGGATGGGAGATCCGAAGTGACTGGGTGAACCACTGTCACTGCATATTTTCGAATGTATATAAAAAATAAATAAATAAATACTTTGGATTTTTTTCGAATTACTCAACGCTCAACCTAACTATGAAGTGTAGAAGGGCAAACTACTTGCTGATTTCAGGTTGTCATCACGATAAATGATGCTGGAGAGTTTCCTTTTATATACAATCCTTTTAATAGCCTGTTCATGAGACCCTGGCAATCCACCTATTAAAAATCAGATGCTTTTAATATATCTCCACTGCGAAAAAAGAATGCATCAAAGACGGTCATGATATCGAAAAACATGTGGAATCTGCACTACCGTGGTAGGCAAACAACTTGGATTAGAACTTTTGCTCTCTAGAGCGAGCCCGTAACTAGAATTACGTAGACGATATTTTTTCAGATTGTCGTTTTTGCAGACAGAAGCATTAATATACAATACAGATGAGAAACAAATCAAACACGCTTACAGTATATTCCAATAGATTAGGAACTCTTTGAATGAATTATCGTAATAAAACCGAAAAAATATCAAAGATTAAGCGATGCGCTCCGCACTTACTCCAACCAAAATCGTAACGGTGTATTGAATGTGCATGTGGCCTATACAATGAATATACCTTGGCCAACTAATGTACAAAGTCAGTGCTTTTGTCCTCCTAGACGGTCTGGAACCTCGGAGGGATGGAAGTCTTGGAGTGCCTAGACGGATACCGACCCGGGAATTGAACCCGTGACCATGTGCGTGGTATAGTACGCAACACCTTGCCCACAGAATACCACAGAGAATACTACATGAAATATATATATATACAAGAAAAACTGAACAACCTGTGGACATGGATTGAGATCAAGATGTATAAGTGCAGGTCGCATATGAAGGCTGTTGTCCCTAAGCCAAACGTTACTGAATTTCGCTCGCATTCCGTCTGTCCACTCGACGTTCAAACCACGAGGAAGACGTTGAGCAGACTTGATGGCGATCATCTAAATCTAACAATGTTAAAACGGGGGAGATAGCTACAACCGAAAATGGGACCGACGATTTCGGGTCGGGCAGATGGGAGGAAAGGAGCTCAGAGAACGATCAAAACAAGAAAGCAACTATCGCACAGTCATAAGATATTATCGAACTATCAGCACGTCATAAAGCGGTTTCTCCAGCCGACAAGAGATTGTCGGGGAATCCCTTTGGCCCGTTTGCATGCAGCCGTCATGTAAGCAATAGATTAAGTAACTATACCTACATCACCCCTACCCTACAGTAAGCCGGCTATGCTGCCATCGGTTCGATTGGGAAAACGACTCGAAAGGTATAGGGCATAGCACATCTGATTTACAGCTTTTTATCATGAATTTTCATCAACAAACATAGGTGAGCTACACTAAGTTGGCAGTATTTGCTGTCAGCATAGAATGGCCGTTCTGGCAAACTGAAGTTATAGGACAGAGTGACTCAGGGTAGATCAAACGTGTTTCTAGGATGCGCCCCGCATTCGACTTTCATTCCGAATCGTATGAATGCGCATTTAGACTATACTACGGTTTGCGGCGGTCAGGTGATACAAATTCAATTTTTTGAACCTCTCAGATGTAACTGAACGAACCAGTGGATGGGTAGGAAAGCGCGGCACTACTGCCCCCACTTCTTTACATAGTGGGAGAGTATTACCTAGTTACAATTCTGTCTAACAGTTAAGCTTTGCAGTTCACAGGAGAGTAAAGAAAAGCTATATAAACTGGTAGAAATAAAAAGAAACGATTCAGCGGTTTAAGCCGAACTTTTAATAGACACAGCTGGGCGGAGGAGATGTAGTGGCAGGTGGCGCACTGTCTAACACGCACGGTCAAGGGTTCGAATCCCGGATCGATGCCCGCCTAGGCCAACTAAGCTGTCCATCCTTCCGGGGTCGGTGAATTGGTAACAGACTCGTCTGGGAGGATAAAAGCACTGACTTGTACATCTTCTGGCCACTGCAAGTCATTGTATAGGTCACATAGGCATGCAATACGCAACTACGATCCTGAATGGAGGTCGAATGCGTGGGCGCATCCTTCTGACGGAATTGATGAACGCTCTAAGACTTTATCCTCATAATAGACACAGTTCGCTTAGTTGTTTACCAACATAAAAAATTGTGCATATGTAAACAAATCGTTCACCATAAAAGCCTAAAAGCCAGCATATGGCCGGGTAGAATAAGATATTCCTGGACGGGCAGTGAAAGATGAGCAGAATCAGAAGAACACCAAGAAAAATGAAATGAAAGACGCTGGTGTAAAGAGGTAGAATCTTCGCCAAGCTATCATAATCGTTTGTGTGCCTTCTCACAGAACAGCCTATAACGGGTTCCAAGGCATTTATTGAAGACGGTATCGAAAATGTAATAAAATTGAAGGTTGATGACATTAAGGCAAAAAAGTAGCCGATAGGAAGACGGAGAAAACGACTTAAAAGGGATTGTAAACAAAATTGTTTAGAAATAAACGGGTCCCGAATGGAGCGAAATCGGGGCTTGGATAAAACAGGAGGATTGATCAGGAGCTTCTTTTCAACACTTCTAATCACTCTTTAGACACCAGGAATGCGAACTGGTCTAGTGACTTCTCGTATAATGATGAATTAGTCAAGGGCATCCCATTACTCGCTTGCTTTCAAGAGCGTAAGGAGCCTCTGAGCCAAGCCTGAACTAAAATGGCTGCTTTTCTTGCAATCAGAAAATCTACGCCCGCATTGGTTATTGTACTGAAGGAACTAAATCTGGCGAGTTCACAGCAGTCAACTTTTGGCACAGCGCCAACCAAAACGTACTTGGAGAGGTCGAGCTTAAAAGCCGGTTCTCCAACAACAAAGACTTCAAGAACTTTAGTTGACGGTACAGCAACGGTTCCGGATGACCCTTGAAAAGGTGTGGTCACGAGGTTTACGCTTGATTGGATAATGTACCCGCGTAGATGATGATTGAAAACGACATTTGCATAGTGTGACCTGAACTGAAAATCACCAGTGAATTCCGGCGGCAATCATCGAATCGCTTTTTTTTGAACAATGCCGAATCGAGAAGAAGAAATACTATGGGTGTGGTAGGGAACAAATTCGAGCAAGGAAAAATCTTTGAGTACTGTAGCAGCAGCTGAACTGGTTAAAGGTCTAGTCCTGACACTAACCAGTGGTGAAGACATAATGGGCGAACTCAGGTTAGGGAGTAAAAGCCTTGATTTGCTCTGTCGATAAGTCTGAGATGTAGAAATTGAGAACCGCCCATGTCCGGCACGAACAATCACTTTTCATTTTGATGTTTATTCAAGCAACAAAGTGTTTTTGATCCCGACAACTTCAAATTCCGAGAGATTATGTGACCAAAGAAGCAAATCAAAAGAAACAAGACCGTAGATGAGTCTTCGTTTAATCCGATCTCGAAACGAAGAGCTCCGTGAGCATATTCTGGTCTACGACATGAATGAGGGTCTAGTTGAAGGGAAAAACTGCCAGATTTGGATCACAGTTGATTATTCTACACGACATCTTGAACATTTACAATGTGGAAGCAAAAACAGACGCGTGACAGAGCATTACTCAGCAAACACTACGAAAACAGAAATTTCATATCAATCTTCCCTTCCAAAGCACTTCGTGATCAAGCGAACAATAGCTGCTGACGTTGCAAGTAGTAATCAAGGGGCAATACNGCAATACCCACACACACACAGACACACACACACTCCCTGTGTCCCCTTATCAATGTGAGATGGTATTGTGGACAAATGTAGCAAATGCCGCTTGTGCGCAATGGAACAGCCCAACAATGAACCCGTTGTGATGGATCTTTCATGTATCACGTGAATTAAACATGGATGAACAGCTGTGATTAAAGTATCAGTACAATTGTAACCCAGATATGATGGATTAATATTGTATAGCAGACCTTAGCATACCGAAAGATTGGGTAATTTATGGTTTCCTGGCTCAATGCTTCTGAAAGAGCCTCGGTTTGAGCACAAAGAACTCCAAAGCACGATGACAGTTCAAAGTTTGAACAGACTATGTCCCGAACCCGGATGTTTTCACTTGTGAGCGCTGTTGTTTTGACTGGTAATCAACTCGACCACCTCGGTTTATTTGTGGCACAGGATTGTGCAATAACACTCAATGAAAATCAACACCTGTCCGCGAACAAAATGAACTTTGCCCAAGTTACTGATCTGTTAAAAATCGGGTTTAAAATAGTTCGCTCACACTTACAAAAAACCGCCCTTACCAGACATCGGAACTAGTTTGTAGGATGCTCGAAATTCCACTGACCCCCGTTGAATTCAAGCCAAACAACCCACCAGGCGCTTACGGAAGGAGAATGTAATGACAGTCGGAAAAAGTAAAAAAGAGAGAAAATGGGTAGAAAGGGGGAATCCCTTTGATGTTTACATAGTCACAGGCGATTTGGTAAAGGGATAGGGTAACAGACCAGGAAGAAGATGACAGACGGGCATTTATCAGATGGCAGAATCTTGCCTGATGATAAATCTAGTCAATCGAACGGCTTATTCCTAGATGTAAATCCAATGATTCAATTGTAAATCCTTGGCTCACTGGGTTCAAGTGTCTAGTAGCCTGGTACAATAAAATGATAAAAAACGAATGCCTCGTATTGGGAATCGATTCCGTTGGTAGGTACTAGGAGCGCCTCGAACTACTTGATCTCCTACCTATATTTTGTACTACCTGCCCCAAAGAATGGATTAACGGACATTGGACTTTCTCAGGTGAAAGAAGGCCACAGATGTTTCTCCATTTCCTCTTTTTAATTTTTTCCGACTGTCATTACATTCCCATTCTAGAACCATCTGTGTGGGCTGTTTGGCTTGAATTCAAGTGATAGGGTTCTATGTTCAAGGCCATGATGAATTTCATCAAACCGTCAGTTGGCTTACCAGTGAAAGCAATAATGGCAATGGTTTAAAAACAGAACGATTGAAAGAGCTTGAAAGCCATTTTCAAGTTGATTAAGGCTAATGACAAGATGACAGATGGCCAGACATAGATATAACTAACATAAAGATTAATTTAACATGCTTATGGCCCAATAAAAAGTAAATATTCTACAAAGAAACATAATAAAAGCTTGTTCGTGGAAAACAAGAAGATGTGGGGTTCTCGTGGAAGGTGATCAGCAACTCTTAGCTGATAGGGGGATGGACAAAGCCATATTTCACCCCAGGATACAGCAAAGTGACAACTAGATGATAAATTGGCGAGCGGGCAGCGATGAATTCCCACGTACACGAAATCGGGTCCGCCAACTTTGATCACGTCTACACAAAGATTGTACAAGGAAGTAAGATCGTAGTCAATCTCGCCTACCGAGCACTTGGGTCGAAAGTACAGAGGTGGGTAGTGCCACCAGCGTCGCAATCAGCTGGCCCGTCGACACGAGGTCACTGCGGTATGGGGGTTACCATCAGTGTCTGTGCACTCCACTGTGATCGACGTTCTTTCTATCACCGTTCGTGTCACACTACTCCATAGCCGTGGTCTCTCAGGGTCATGGGAACGCCACATGCATCATAGTCGAATGGGGGGTAACCCCCTCTCGTCTCAGTCTACGTACAGAAATTTCTTGATCGTTGGAATGGTTTGCGTGAACGATAAACAGCCACCTGTTGTCGGTCAAGAGTTCAATTCCAAAAGAATGGCGCCACGTTCGCATGCTAGGATAGCCAGTGAAAGTGCATGGGGTTTACGGTTTTGGCCCATGTTCAGTCTTTTTATGGTTGACCGACTGGCAATATAAAATGAGGAACAGTTGTTCCTTGCCCAGTTCTACCTACAAACCCCATTTAGGTAAGCAGAAAGCGGTAGGTAACTTGTAATTATTCTTGTGATGTTGCTATTCACACCTCACTATCAACATATCGAATCTGCTGTTCCTACATAACCCTTCTGATTCTCTAAAACGGCCTTCGTTACGCTCTCAAATTAATATTGTCTT